TGGGTACATTTTAAACGCTTTTAAGCAAAATGATTGGTAATATTAAAATTTGACAAGAAGTTAACCATTGAACCATTACTCTCATCGAATGATATTTTAAGAAAACGGATGCAAGTTTTTTTTTCACAGAGTTATTAGAAAAAGAGAAATTTATCAGTGAAAGCTTTTAGGGGAAAGCTCTCAATGTTTTGATCCTTGTTACTGAACAGTTTCTAGACTTCACAAATTCAAAAACTTAGTTCATTAAAAATATATTTCGATAATTTTTGTTCAGAATTGGCAGAAAATGCTGAAGAGTTGGGTTTATTTCGTTTATTGAGTTTTTCATATATTCAATTTCGAGATATAGTTTTTGTTTGTTGCAATCAAGAACTGTTGAAGTTGAGAAAGCAAAAAACAAAAGTGAATTTTAGTTTAGGGTTAGGGTCTTAAGTGTTATTAAGCGCAAGCGTGGGTTAAAGGTGATTAGTATCAGTTTATTCGTAATCTTGTTTTCCGTTTTGATTATAATAGTCAACCCTGTTAACGAAATCCTTACTAATACTTGTGGTTGAACTAATTCATTTCAAATAGACCTTCAATTCTTTCTAATAAATCTACATTTCAAACATTTGGATTAAAGTGAGTGAGTTGAGATGGTATATAATGCGAAACGTTCTCAACCACCGCCATTAAATGTAGGGAGAAAAGTACAGCATCAGGGTTGCTGGGGGACTGTTTAAATGCAGTTCTGAGCCTGATAACAGTTTTTGTGCACAAGATAGAAGGCCTACTACTGGGACCTTTTTGGTTCTCCTATGGTAGGAAGAGCCAATAGCCTAATTATTTACTTCAGTTGTAGCGTAGTATGAGATGAAAAAATACTGTAAAACTGCTATGTCAAAATTTGAAATAAATAAAATTATTATATTTTTAACAATTTCTTATTTTTATGAAAATAGGATTTTCGAGGCTCCGAATCCAATAATTTTTGATGTGATTAAGATACACAACTGTTTAAGCGAACCTTTTTTGATCTCTTATGCCAGGCCAAGCCAGTATCCTAACTAATTTTTGATTTAGATTTTAAACTGAGATGTAAAAACTCTTCAAAAATGTATGTGAATTTTTGAAAAAAAAAAAAATCAAAAATGAAAAAAAAAAATAAAGGAAAAATTGGAAAAAAACTCTGAGTTTTGTCTCAAACTGTCCAATGAAGCTTCCAATCGATCAAGGGTTTTAACACAATACAATACCTTTGAAAAGCTCTAGGGGTGTTTTTTCGAAAAGGTGATTTTTTACCTTAGGTTTCTTGGGAACCTAAGGTAAACCGAGATGACAACTGAAAATTTTTAATTTCCAGCAGCCTCCCGGAACCCAAAATTGTCTTCGGAC